CCGGGTTGGCCCAAAAAAAAAAAAAAATAATAATAATTGTAAATCTTTTTTATTTTTTTCAATTACACTTTTACCCTTGAAATATAGCCGTTTTATAGCCGTTGGAGGGGTCTTTTTCGTCATTTTCTTTCCCTATTTTTTTCTATAAATTGGCCCTAAACTCTCATATTTTTCTCACAACTCAAATTCTCTCATTTTCTCATATTCTCTATTCTAAATTCTCATCTCTATTCTCTCAAGTCTCAAGTCTCAATTTTCATTTATTCTCTAATATTTTTGTTATCAATTTGCTCTTATTTTAATTTTTATTAGGTTTTGCAATTTTCAATTCATATTTCCAATTTTCCATATTCCAAATCTCTTTCTTAATTTTTTTCTTCTACATCATTTTTTTTTTCAACTACAAGTCTACAATGATAGATATTTCTCCCTATCATTTCAAATGAGGAAGAAAACTATCCTAGTCCTAGTCCCGCTGATTTTACTATGAATGCGAGATTCAAATATCCGCTTGTCCCAATCCCATTCTCAAATCCGATACACCTCAAATATGCCGTCGATTCCAACAGTGCCCGGTGGTTCTAGAAGTCGTCCTCGTTCGTTGTCCTCGTCAACTTCTCTCAAGCTGAGGCGGATCATCAACTGCCGTCGAGCAAAACCAGACACACATCAGACGTTTGGGCGCATTTCGACGTTTTACGAGACGAAAATGGCGTTCAAGTCAAGAAGCAGATGCAAATATTGTGCAAATGTTTATAAAGGTGATTCGATGTACTAGTAGTAGTTAATTAAACTAAAAAGCATGAATAAACATATTAATCAACATGGAAATAGAGAAAATCAAACTCAATAACTATATGGGTACTACTTGGCGTTATAATTCTGATGTATATAGGAACAGTTAGCTTTATATATTGCTGCATCTGATCAACCTATTAATATGGCGAAGATAAATATTTTGAAGATTTGTTCAAAATTCATTTTTCCAGGATTAAAAGTTATTCTAAAACTGCAACTAGAAATGATTTATAAAATTGTTTAAAAAAATGAAATTAGAATTAAAATAATTTTCATACTTGTCATATTAGTGTGGCTTTAACTGCGATATTGGAGTGGTAGAGCTAACAAGATTATTTTTTGTGACTAGTCATTATTTTGATAATGAATTAATTAAATAATCTTTATTAGATTTAGATTAATGGATGTGGATCATAGTGGTTTGAAACTATAATAAAATTATTGAAGTTTTAGGAAGAGTTATATATATAAAGTGATAGTTTAACTTTAGATAATGTAAGTTCTAATATAAAGCTATAGAATTTTTTCAAAATAATTATCTTTTATATAATAATTTGAGTTTTTTCACCAACGTTGTGCTGTCATGTTATTAATTTAATTGTGAAAAGTGGTAATGAAAACAATTAAAAAAAAATATGATAGAATTAGGAATCTTTAGCTTGGATTCCTAGTAGTAATAAAAGAAATGCTGAATTCAGAAAGCAGCTTGTATAAATCAAATTGTCTCCTAGAACTTTGCATAGATATGCCTGTTAGATGGAATAGTACTTATTTAATGCTTGATTCATGTTACCTTATGCTAATATAATTAGTTATTTTGTAGCAAATAATAGGAGGTCCTCAATCATTTGGTAGAAAATGATTGGAGATAGCTAAAGTATTTCTCTTTTCTCAAATGTTTTACCAGCCACTTTAACAACTTTCTGGTGTTATTATCTACTAGTCCATTATATACATGTAATTATAAAATTTCCGAGTTATTTACAAAAACCAAAGATGATGAAATTTTACATGCACCAATAAAGGCAATGGAAATTTTTTTTTTGTAAATTATTGGAACCCGTTCCTTTTCTTTATTGTTTAGGTGCTATATTTTGATCCTAGAATTAAATTAAGCACGTTTAGAAAATGGTCTTGACAATTTAAGTGAAAATTTACAAAACGAATCATATGTCAATCAAATAGGAGAGGTAAAAAATAGTCTTTTCGAAGTATATTTCCAATAAAAACAGGTATGGAACCCGCAGTCGCAAAGAGGTGAATTCAGAGAAGCTGTAGCAGAAAAACAAATGAAGACTTATTCTCTTGGAATGCACTGAATAGGCCGAGAGGACCCGAGTCCGAAGCACAGCCTCCTCTTCAAAGCACCACCACCAACAACAACAACAACTAATTGTTGTCCTCCTTGGAGTCGCAGAGTAATGAACTTCAACTATTTGGCACCCCCGAAATGTTTTCAACAGGTCACTTTGATCTCTTAGAGTATTGGAGAGCCAGAAAAGTATTTTTCCCGGTATTACAAGACTTGCCTTGGATGTTTTCCGCTGTTCCTGTCTCAACCGTCTCATCCGAACAACATTTAGTGCAAGTGGCAGGATTTTAAATGAAAGGAGGACTAACTTGCTCCAAAAAATGATTGAAGTCCTCACATATCTTCGAGATTGGGAACGATCGCGCCATCAAGATCATACAGGTATCGACAATGCTTTAGTAGAATCATTTCAATTTTGTAATATAGATGATACAGATGAGTGAGGTCCTAGTGAAACACCCCCAATTTAAGTTGTTTTGTAAAATGTAATTTGTAAATTAATTGTCATATTGCACTCTTTTTTCTTTACCAAGTTTTTTCTCCCATTGGGTTTTTTCTTGTGAGGTTTTTAACGAGGCAATAATTGTTGTACTTTGTTATTTTTTTTGATAAATGAATAAGTCTAATTTTTCTTAATTACAATTTTATTGTATTAAAATTGAATTAATATTTGAAATGTTACACAAAAAAATTGAATTGAATTGAATTATTGATATTTGAAAGTTAAACTAAAACATTATATTTATAATTATTTATTTGAAAAGTTAAATTAAAAAAACAAAAAAAACACAAAAAAAAATCAGGCTACCCCGGCCCGGACCGTGCCTAACCCGGCGGTGTGGGGTGGGCGGCGCGGGCTGGCCAGCCACTCTCCCTAAATTGGCGGCCTAACCCGGCCAGCCTTTTTGGTGGGCGGGTTGAGCCCAGCCCGCCACAGCATGTAACCCGCCGCGGCCGGGCCTGGCGTGGCCGCGGGTTACTTTTCCACCTTTAAGAAAGGACACTTCTCTCGCAATTAAAGACTAGCTCTGATACTACTGTTGCAAGTGGAAAGAAGAGAAAAATTGAATAAAAATAGGCTAAAGCTATATAAAAGAGAACTGAAATACTCAAATGCATTTATTTGGTAAAGACAGCCTTCTATAGGCTTTACAAACGATGTTTTGTGTTAACAAATAGCACCCACTAACCCACTAATTACAAATAAAGTCAACCTAGTAATTGAAAAACTACCACAACTCCTCCAACCGCCACCCCACTAAACCATTAAAAGATGACTTCCTAAAACAGAATTGACTAAATCAAATAAAAATTTTCCAACAGTTTTTATAGATTCAATTCATGAGTTAATTTATTTCTTTGTATTTAGATATGGAAAAACTTTTAAAGTAAGTCTGCTAAGACATCTCAACTTTCTTTGGTGTCAATGATATGAAAACCAACTTCTTTAAATAAAAATTGCTTGAAGTTGCTTGGAAAATCTTCATTCTGATCTTGGATTTCAACCAGAATTACATTTTATCATCCTTAATGTTCGAGACTAGTCAGAGTGTATTATCTACAAAGGGTCCTTGTCAACCTCGCGACCATAAGTTTCCAAATCAAAATCTATGATCATGAACAGAGTTTCCAACGTTCTTGGGTTTGAAAATATCCTTACTGGATGGAATATAGTGTTGAAATGATGTTGCATATTGTTATTGTTATCTTTTCAAACCAGATAAAGGTGAGCAAGGTGGCAGTGATTCTTTTGTTCTTGATGGGTTTCGAAATTGGAAAGATATTGAAAATTTTAAATATCATATTGGAGGTCTTAACAACTATCATAACCAAGCTTTGAAAAATTGTCAAATCTTTGATGAACCAAAAGCAGTATGTGAGTACAATTTTAATAAGAAATTTGACCAACAGCGGAAAGTTATCGTATTCGGTTGAAAGGATCAATTTTGCTAGTCGCTTCTTCTTCGGCAAGGATGCCTTTTGTGGCCATGATGAGTTTGATAATTCAATGAATTGGGGAAACTTCTTGAACTTTACATTATACAGTGAGCAAAATGAAATATGAATTAGTAGCATTGGAGAATGATCCTGGACATGATAAATTGATTGCCCTAGTATCCAAAAGACATAATGAATGCATTTGCAGTTGAAACCATCAAAAAATTAATTAGTGATCTTGGAGATGCTTCTTTTTTTTTTTTTTTTTTTCATATTGTTTGAAGAACTCATGAAGGATCCAACAAGAGCAGATGGCAATTATCTTATTTTATGTAAAAAGAGGGTGTGTTGTTGAGTGTCTAGTGAACATTATGCATGTCCGAATACAATTGCTTTATATCACAGAAGATGAAATTGAAATATTATCTCTAAATACAATTTGAGCATATAAATTATATGGACAAGGTTATGATGGTGCGGAATATGCGAGGTTAGTTTAATGGTTAAAAGCACTTATATTGAAGATATGAATATTGCTTTCTATTGTCATTGTTCTGCTCACCAACTTCACTAGCACTTGTAGTTGTGCTCACTGTTTTAAAACCTGAACCAGAGGGAACCCGTTTGTTGCCCTGATCACAGGTCAACCTCCAACCGGTTGGACCGGTGTAGCATGTAATCAGCACTATAAAAAAAAAAAAAAAAGGTCTGATTTTTAAAATAATTCAGATTTTCAATAACAACTTAATTACTAGCCCAATATGATTCAAGCTCAATAACAATCCCAACATGATTTAACAACAATCCCAACATGATGTTTGTTTATCCATTTAAATTAAATGATAAAATACATAATATTTATAACAAAAGTTTGTGCAAGTGTTTTTCTTTGACCATCTCCATGTTGATTGAACTTCACACACTAGCATCAGAATCGTTGTTATCATCACCATCACATCACATCACCATCACCATCATACACCATCACCATCATCTACAAAATTTTAGTAAAAATAGAAACATAAGTTAAACTTGTAATATAATTAAAATAGATACTAAGTTCTTAAATATTTGAAACCAACCTATGAACCATTTGTTGAACATAAGAAAAGGGGATCAGCAACTCCAGCGATATCATCATTCCCCATATCCTTTTGTCCAATTCCTCATAATTAAGTTCATTGACCTCCTTTTTATCATCAACTATCAAACCTTCAGTTTTGTCGATACTTTCATAATCAATAAAATCAAAACTTATTTTCTTGTAACACCTCCTAAAATACCATAATGAAATATTAAAAGCATGACAAGTAAAAATATCAAGGAAAATAATAGATAATAACAATAAGAGTGATGCATAATTGAGTGATTGACAATGTTTTATACCTATTTTGCAAACGCAAGTTATAGTGAACAAAAACAAGATCATTCAACCTTTGATGCTCCAATCTATTCCTCTTTTTAGTATGTATGTGCTAAAAAACACTCCAATTTCATTCACATCCCGAAGAGCTTGAAGTTTGGCTAAGAATTTTTATTGCAAAACTTTTGCAAATTTGGAGTACTGTACCCAAATGATCTCTCCCATTCATCTAATTGAAAATTAAACATAATAAATAAATCAAACTTAAAAACAAAAGAACTCATAAATTTTATAACTATTATGTACCAAGACATGTGGTTTTGGTGGTTTCAAGATCAAGCCCATGAGAAAAGCTTTCCTCCTGGTTTGAATATAATATACTCTCATCCATTAACTTTGTCTTGTTCAAATTGAACGCGCTTGCTTTACTATTAATAGTATCAAGGAAACCACTCATGACTTCTAGCTTGGCACAAAAAGATGCTTTGTCATATTTAAAGGCAGGATTCAAATAATAAGTCTTACCATAGATATCATGGCGCAATGTCCTATCCCATCATAGCTTAATGATTCTTGTATAAGGCTTATACAATCTTTTTTTATTCTTAAACAATTTCTTAATTGTATTTTTTGCTCTGTATATGCCATCATACACATATCCTATTGTAGACATCTCTTATGAGTCAACAATCTGCAGCAAGTGCAGCAATGGACTTATAACTTTGGACACCTTACCCATATCATCCCAAAAATCGTTATCAAGAATTATGCCAATAACATGTTCACCTTTATTACTTTTTGCATATCGAGAATCGACAAATGACTTATCTATCACCATGGCTTGCAAGTCATGTTTGTGCTCATGAAAGCTTCTCATTGCAATGAAAGTTGTAGCAAAACAGGTGGCGCCTGGATGGACAATTTCTTTCCAACCCCGTTCAATTGATAAATAATAGATGTTAGTCAATTATAAAAAATGCATATTATGTTATGACTTGATAAGAACATGAACTGAAGGTATATTACCTGTCTTTTCCTCAACCAAGCTATCAAGAATGTATGATTATATAGAAACTTTGTCAACTCAGAAGCACATTTTGCAAGATAAACTATGTGATCCATCTCAACTATGTCCTTTAACACCAAATTTATGCTATGTGCTACACAGGGTGACCAAGTAATACTCGGATATTTCTCAAACAACATTCTTTCGCAGCTTTATTATTGGATCCATTGGTTGAGACAAAATGGAAAATATTACTTGGTCCAATCCATAAAGCTACCTCCTCAAACATCTTCAACAATGTCCCTGCATCTTTCACAACATCTGAAGCATCAATTGATTTTACAAAACAAACTCCTTTAGGACAATACACCATAAAATTGATCAATGACCTATGTGAATTATCAGTTTGACCATCAGCAATTAAGGTACATCCAACATTTTCCCAAATCTTCCTGTAACTATCAACAAGAAGTGGCACTTCCTTTTTAGCATCTCTCAACAAATTGACACGAAAACCATGATAATTTGGGTTTTTATACCCAAACCCAATTGCAACTATAGCATCCACCAAAGGCTGAAGATAAATTGAATTTATAGCATTAATTGGGATGCAAGCATCATAAAAGAATCTTGCAAAAGCCATATCTGCTCTCCACATCACATCTTTTCCAGCTAAACAAATCCAAATTGATGGTTGAGATCCAACAATTGTCCTTGAAGCAAAATAGTCCCCAATCCCACTAGGTTTTTTGCTTTTTGATTGGTCTAGCATTGTATTTTGTTTTTGATTGCCAAACCTACCTTCATTTATGTGAATTTCTGACGGATGAAAATCTTCACTATCTTCATTTAACATATCTCCCTCAAATCCATGTACAGTAGCATCGTAAGAAGTTGTATACTTACTAGAATCAGCCTTCTCTTTATTCTTTATCCCAATGTCTTTTAGTGCATCTCTCATCAAATATTGAACATCAAAGGGAACTTTTAAACAAGCACCAACATCCCCCTTTGTTCCAGTTAGATGTTGTTTCATTCTAAAAATACCTCCTCCTCTAGTAACTTTTCCACAATGAAGACATTTTAATGTCCTCCTTCCATTTGGATCTACACCCTCAATAACATGTGCCCATGTTATTCAATCCTACCTTTACTAGATTGTGAAGAAGACCCAGAGCCAGATGTTGACATTATTTGTTTTTAATCTTTATCTACCTGTCACACAAGAAATAACAACAATAATTTAGTAATACTTGGCATATTAAAACACCAGCATATTATGGATGCATTCAGGGAGGCTTTACAATAGCCTATAAAGTGAAAAACGTATCTTTTGTGAGATGATACAAAAGCAACAAACACGTAACTATAATATCTAGAGTTGCCAAATAGTGGCAAACCACAAATAAGTGTATCAAAATTACAGAATTCGTCTAAGATTCTCTTGTAAAACTAGTTTCTTTTATTTGTTTCTCAACCACCCACAAACAATATCATTACCCAGATATATTTTTGATTCTATGGAAAACAAAAAACAAATTAAAAAAGATACAAATAAGTTGAATAAAAAACATGCCTACTCTGAATTTATGCACATATTTGCCTTCACATTTGTAAAATGCGTATAATACAAGTTTTACAACACACACTTGCAAGACGCTCTTCAGTATACACGTACATTCATGTAACTCTCTTTAGTATTGTAGAAAATTCTTTTCACCAGCAAAATATTCTAGTATCAATCAAAGATTAAATGTGTAAAACAGAAACATGCTAGAAATAATAGCTTGGTCAGAACAAGCAAATTGAATATCTTAAAACTAGATTTCAACAATCAATTTCATAACAAATTTGTAAATTAATTTGGGTTCGCTACTCCTGCCACTCTTAAAGAACAACAATACATAGTGCTTCATCTCAACCTATATTTTCCCTATTGACAACAAGAAATTGGATTTGCAAAAATTGAAAAGGTCATGAAATTACAGTTTCTAAAATGGAGTTGTCATCGATTTCCAACGAGGAATGGAGCTATTGTCATCGATTTCCAACGAGGGAGGGAGGCATCACCATCAATTTCAGAGAGTGAAGTTGCGATTTCAGACTTCAAAGAGTGGAGTTTATTGAGATTGAGTGGCGGTTTGAGTGGTAATTTGAGGGGGTGGCTACGATTTTAGAAATTCAGAGGTGCTTTTGCATAAAGAAAGTAGAGAAACTAAAAAAAGAATAATTTTAGGGATTTTTTTTTTTTTTTTTTACTTTTGAAATATTGAACCGGTTTATGAAGCGGTCCAGTTGGACCGGTGGCTGTTACTGTTTGTCCGGTTTAATAGCAGTTTATAGCTGGTTTTTGAGTATAACCGAGTTTTATATTAACTCGGACCAAACATACGACCAGGTCTCAATTGAACTGGTTGGACCGGCTAGTTTGGTCCAGTTTTTAAAACAATCTGATATGTTTACAAATCCTAAAACACTTGTAAACATGAGTGGACAAGGAATTCCAAGTCCTAAAACACTTGCTAATTCGATTGAATTAAAGAATTTCACTCAAAGTCCTAAAACACTTGGATTGTAGAATGTGGAATGTGGAAGGCAATGGAGGATATTTGGCCTAACCAAGTTCCAAGGAGGGAGAGAGCCCAAATATTTCATCCCAAGCCACTCCAAGTCCAAGCTCAACAAGGGAAGCTCAAGCCCACCAAGAAAGAAGTCAAACTGTTGAAAAGATCCAATCCGGCCCAAGTCTCATTCTAAAGGGGAAGATCCACATGAACCCTTATTGGATTCATTTGCATGATTCTCATGGCCCAAATTCTTACACCCTTATTAGTAGACTTAATCAGGATCATTGAACAAGATTTGATCTAATGGAAGTAAGCTTATTTCAACTAATGGGGTGGTTAAAGACATAGATCCTGGAATTAGGGAATTATGTCTCTTTTGCATTAAATAGGCATGGCCTTACTTTTTGAATGAATGGCTTGTAATATTAGTTAAGTTTATTTCATTTTATTGTATTTGTCAATTACTTGTTTATCCTTGTATTTGCCTATATAAGGGCAACTATTTCATTGTAACAAGTAGCTTTTGAAATATATGAAATTGGTTTATCCATTTGAGAGAACTTTTGTGTTCTTGAGTGTCTATTCTTTATCCAAGTCCTGGCAAAGGATTTGGTGGTGAATTAATTCAAGTTGGTGGAGCAATCCTTTAGGCTTGAAGTGCTATTACTTGTCTTGGTCTGAAAATTGCAAGTAAGTGTTTTGAACTCTAATATTTGTGTTGGCCGAATTTTGCTTGGATTTGTGGTATCTTGTGTTGTAGTATTGGTTGGAAATGGATCACAATGGTTGTGGCAAAAAAGGATACAAATATTGAGAGACTTTTTGAAAGTTTCTTGTGTGATAAATATTGTTGGATGGTCACCTAGACGTTAGGATCTTCTTAATGAGAAACAAGTTTTGAAGGTGAAAAAAGGTATTGAAAGTGGTGAGCTTTCAATAAGGCAAGGCCTTAATCAAGATACTAGTCTTTAGTGGCCAAGGAAAACACGGTGGGGTTCACATTATGGGACTAGACTGAGCTTGATTAATTTGTTTTCATTTGTTACTGAAGTGCTTGAGGATCTTATTGAAAATTCTGATAATAGAGTTGAAGCAAGTGATTTGGTGGATTATATGACTTCTTTTGATTTTACTTTTAACCTGCACATAATGAAAAACATTTTGGGAATCACATTTGAACTTCACAAGCATTGCAAAGAAAGCATCAAGATATTATAAATGCTATGTCTTTGATTCACTTGTTGAAAAGAAGATTATTGTTGGTAAGAAATAATAGATGGGATAATCTACTTAATGAAGTTTCACATTTTTGCATTACTCATAATATAAATGTGCCAAATATGGAAGAGAAATTTGTTGCACAAGGGAGATCACGACGTGATCTTTAAGAGATGACAAATTTATTTCATCATTGTGTCAAGTTGTTCTATGCCATAACAGATTTGCAACTATAAAAGCATAACAGGCGTTTTAATGAAGGTAATACATAATTACTTATTTGCATGGCCTCTCTAAATCCAAGTGATTGCTTTGAAGCATTTGATAAGGGAAAATTTGTTCGTTTTGCTCAATTTTATCCACTTGAATTTTCCTCTACTAATCGTATGGCACTTGAACTTAAACTTGATAATTACATTGATGATATGCACTCGGATAGTGATTTTTCATAACTAAACGATATTACCAGTCTTGCTTAGAAAATGGTTGAAAAGAAGAAGCATCTTACTTACTCATTGGTATATTTGCTCATCACATTGACTTTAACCTTATCAATTGCAACTGCAAGTGTAGAAAGGACATTTTTTGCTATGAAAATTGTGAAGACACATTTACGCAATCGGATGGGAGATCAGTTCTTGAATGATAGCCTAATTCCATATTTTGAGAAAGATATATTTGACAATGTTGATAAGGAGATGGTCATGCAACGATTCCTTAATATGAAGCCCCGCCGAGGACAATATTAAATGTAATTTTTTTTCTTTTTGTGACAATTTCGACTAGAGAAACATAATATTAATGTTATGTATAGTTAGTTTTTATTTTGGCTCACCCTAATAGAAATTTTTGGATCAACAGCTGCATCAAACTTAACAAATTTTGCTAGCAAACAGTGAAGAAGAGAGGTTTGAGAGAATTTTTGAAATCTAAAGGGATGTTAGACACGCTATTTTAAACTTGTGGAGTATCGCTTAAAAATGCAAACCTAGGGGAGGAGAGGTAATATGCATTTCACAAAACACATAATTTAAAAACGGAGAAAAATTTAATAAAATATTCAATTTTTCTTTTTATCTTCTCTTTCTTCTCTCGTAAAACGAGAAAAAAAGATGAAAGTCTCTAGATTATGTTGTGCAAAAAAATCCGATATCCGATCCGGATCCGATCCGCTCTGATCCGTAAAAATCGGATATCCGAAAATTCAGATCGAATACGGATCGTTATTTTAAAAAATCCGAATATTCGGATCAGATACCGGATTGGGAATGTTAAAAATTCGGATATCCGAATCCGATCCGGATTTTACAAAACTACATCGTTTTGACTTTTGAGTGTAACAACTAACAATAACCCTAAGTCTAACACAATGTCACAATTAACTCAATTACTCAACTCTGTCTCTCTCACTCGTCTCAGTCTCTCTCGGCTCTCGTCGGAACTCGAAAGTCGAAAGCCTGTCTCTCACTCTCTCTCACTCTCAGTCTCTCTCGCTGGAACATGGCAACACGCAGTCACGCACAGCATAGACCTCACACACTCTCAGAGTCTCAGTCTCTCTCAGCTCTCGCTGCCTCGCTGGAACACGCAGTCACGCACAGTCGCACATACCTCACAGTCTCACACACGGTCACTCAAACTCTCAGACCAGATCTCAGCTCAGTCTCTCACTCAGTCACTCTCTCTCGCTCAACTCTCTCAGTCTCTTTCACTCGAACACGCACAACGGCCAGTGTCTCTCGCTCAACTCTGTCAGATCTTAGTCTCTTTGACGATTGAAGCCCCAAATCGATTGTAAGTTAATTTCTTTAGAATTTAGAGTTGCTGAATTTTGTTCACGTCATATATCCCTGAGGCTACAATAAATATTGAATCTACAAATTTGACTACAATAAAACTTTGTTTTTATAATTTAATCTTTATCACCGAAAAAAGTATCTGGGTATTGAGTTTGACCCCTAAATCTAATCCACTGGAGAATTTTCCTGGCTTTGTTTATTGTGGAAGGAAGCATGGTTGGTGATAGAAAAGTGGAAAAGGAATATTATGAGAAACTGAAAATGTTTTAATTTGGTTTGTTTGAGATGCATTGCTTGCTTGCTTCATCGAAAGGTGAAGTGCTGACTGCTGAGATAGGAACAAGTTAACAACATCTCTTTTAGTGTTTAACTTTATGCTTAAGTTAAATTAAGTAATGGTGTGATAATAACATCTCTTTTAGAGTTAATTTCTGTCTAAATCTTTAGCTTTC